ATATATATATATATATATATATATATATATATATATATATATATATATATATATATATATATATATATATATATATATATATATATATATATATATATATATATATATATATATATATATATATATATACATATATATATATATATATATATATATATATATATATATATATATATATATATATATATATATATATATATATATATATATATATATATATATATATATATATATATATATATATATATATATAAATTGCATTTTATAGTACGTGCATTAAAAACAATATAAATAAAATGTAGCGATTTCAGTATTTCACGTGATAATACAGCAATGTTGAATACATGTTGTCATGTATTTTAAAGTATAATGTCTAATTAAAATACATTAGCGATTTAATAATTATTAATTAAAAAGATTTAATTATATATATATTGTATAGCAAATAATATAGCTTATTTAGCCTAAAACTAAACTTGCTTAAACAAATAATAAACAGTTTATTCAGCTGTTATTGATGAGAAAAATTCAACATATTATTTTGTTCGGATACCATTTTTAATATTTTATAAAACTTCTCCGTTTTCGGTTTTAACTGTAGGGTATGGCAGAGTTAGATTTTACCGTTAACTATTTTCCGTTAACTTTATTTTAACTCAACGGAGGACACGAGAATACGAATTTTTTTTAATGCCGGTGTTAAAAACTGCCGTTTAATTTTAACCAGCCGTTAGCTTAACGCAGGGTTCAACGAAAAGACGTGAATACGGCTAGTGGGTAATTCATTAGCCTTTTATAGGTTGATTATCTGCTTATATAAGGTTTCCGTTCGGTTTTAACCAATAACCGAAAACCGCGTTTTTTTGTCAAAACCGATGTAAATGAAAACTGTCGGTTTTCAAAATCGGTTTTGGCGGGTTTTTTGTATAATGTCTTTTGAATGTTTATTTATTATAAAAAAGTATAAAAAATCCAATTAATATGCAATTAAATTTGTATTTTATTATTAAGATTGTTTTTTGCAGGAAAATTGACATGCCTTTTCATTTTCAAAATTATTCAAGTTTTTTTTAATTATTAAGTAAAAAAAATATTCGAATATCGCAAATATATTCGAGTAAAACACGCAAATATATTCGAATATAAAGTATTCAAATACTCAAATGGGATGGCTTATTCTTTATATTAAAGATTTTTATTCCTTAAAAAGACATTGGGATATTTTTTGTGCATATTTTTGTTCAACAAAATATTAACGTATAAGTATGTAATAAAAGTAATTTAAGATAATGTTTTTTACAATTATTTAATTTTTTGAAAATATATTTATCTTCAAAATAAATCATGTCATCAGTTTGGAAATTTGCTGTCCGGCGTGAAATTCTGAATTCAAGAGTTGTTGAAGGCCTCTGCAATAGATGCAAAGAGATTTAGTAGGTCCTACTCAAGATGGTGCAGTAGTTAACAGGAAGCTCAAACAATTAACGGACATTGTTCATCAGTTTTGCTTTAATTACGGAAACCGTACGTTCAGCGCTGTTTTCGTAACTATTTGGTATTCACCAAAGCATTTCAGTTAAATAGGGTTGCGCACGAGTTGGGCTGAACTTACGCAAAAACTTACGCAAAAAATCAAAAAAACAACCAAACTAATTTTTTTTTTTTTAATGCACTTAATTTTTGTAATTTTATAAAACAAACTTTTCTAATATTGAATTCATATAATTTCTTACAAATTTAAATTAGGGATTGTTACTAAATAATATTTTTTACAGCCTAATAAAATGACAAGAATATTTTTATAAAACTCTGATATATTAACTATTCATTTTATTTCAGGTTCAGAATTGATTAATCTACAAAGTGGTATAAAGGGCAGATAAATTTTGACAATTGTTAATTGTCAAAATTTATCTGCCTTCACATTTGCGACTTAGTATGTGCGGCCAGAGGTGGTATAGGTGCGGGGTCCCCTTGGGATGCCTGGCCCGCGGGGCCCTAGGCGACTGCCTATCCCGTCTATGCCAAGGATATAAAAAAAAAAAAGCTCTATTTGCTATTCTCCTAATATAAAAGAAATCTGTTAGAATCTTTTTTATTTTTGTTTTAGTAAAACAAATCGTTTGTAAATGCAATTATGGGTCATCCATAAAACACCTCATTCTATACTTGTCAATTCTTAACCTCTTCCCTCCTGTCACAAACGACCACATATGTCTTAACCCCTCTCCCTCTTAAGGCGAGTTTCCACTCATCCATTTTTTTACGGGAACGGGAAAGTGACGGGAAAAATAATCACGAGGGCATGCGTAGTATAAGTTTTAATATGTCCGATGGAAAACTACGCATGGTCACGTGATTATTTTTCTCTTTCCTATCCCGTTCCTGTGAAAAAACGGATGAGTGGAAACTCATCTTTAAACTGTAATAGCTGTTTTTTCGTCACAAATATTTTAAAAGATTTGAATGATTTAAATTTTTATTTTAAAACATTTAAATACTTTAAAGCATTTTAAAAATCCAACCTAATGGAAATAAGGCAATACGCATAAACGTAAGGAGTGCAAGTAAAAACTTCAACAAACCAAAGACTTTAAACAACTCAAATAAATATTAATAAATTTGTAATACTAAAACAATTTTTTTAAAGTTTGTTCGTGGTCTTAAAAACTGTTTTCTGTTAAATAACTTTCATAAAAGTTATGAAAAATCACTTAGGAAAAGAGCCACCAGTTTCTTTGTTAATTATTTTTAATGAATGAGTTCAATACTTTTGCAATTTTTTGGTTACGTAACTCTAACTCTGAATAATAGATATAAAAAATCCACGATAAATATCGCTACGTAATACGCCACGATAAATATCGGTAACGTAAGTGATGTAACGTAAGTTAAATATATATATCAAAAAAACAAGTTTATTTACATTATCCGGTCACCTTTGTATATTTTTTAAATTGGCATAGAATTGTTAACATCTTGTGAAAGTTTCTAATACAAACCGCTTTACTGATTAGTAGAAATTGGACCTAAAAGTTAAAGCAATTTTTTTACCTTGTTTTCCGTGCAACTAAAGTTAAGTGGCATTTTTAGTAACAAGTTCGCCATCTTTTGGCCTGGCTTAAAACTTTTTAGCTTATTTTATTTTTTAGACTAACAGCTTTCATACAAAATAGCTAAAAATTTACAGATATGCAAATGATAAATATGCAAATACAGAAATGATAAATATGCAAATATTTGAAATTAAAGTTGTTGCGCGTGAAACGTAAGTTAAAAATGGAATTGCCCATAAGAAAAAAAAATAGTTTTATACAGTTATAAGAACATAAAACATATTGAAAAAAAAAAACACTGTTTAAATCAATTATTTTTCTCTTTCATATATTGTTACATAACCCATGTAAATATTGACTGGGGTAATATCAATAAATCTAAACTGGAACCCTTTTATCATCAACAGAAGCTTGTTTTATAAATTTCACAGTTTTTCTCATGCCGAGCTTTAATTATTTAAAATGAAAATTCTTGATATTTATCAGCTAAATGTTTTTAATAAACTTTGTTTTATGAGCAAATATAAAACTAACTCATTTCCTGTTGTATTTTTCATAATTTATATACCTTAAAAGATAAAAATAAAAACAATATTAAAATTGATAATTTAATTCGTAAATAACCAATTTCTTTGACTAATTTTGGAAAACCGTGTGTTTTATTTCGTGACTTTTTTCATTTTAACAAAATAGAAAACATATTAAATTTTTCCTTGAACGGAATTATCTTTCATTTAAGAAAAAAATAAAACAAATATTTTTATCTTTTAAATATTCTAAATAGTTTTTAATCTTCCTAATGGCCTTGTCACAGATCACCACTGATGTTTACGCCTCATTCTTTACCGATATCGCAAATATGTCCATAACTAGCATTGAATTCCAGTCTTCCTAATTCGAAAGCAAAAGCTCAAACCACTGCGCCACGAGTACTAATAGTTAGAATATAAGAATGTATTTTTCCCACACTTTATGTATTTAGGCCTTCAAAAAGTACTTTTTTGATTAAATGTAGTAGCATCAAATTAAGTTGTTATTGTTATTATTGTTATTGTTATTTCACCTCCCCAAGGCCGAGAAGACCACTACAGACGAGGAGGCTACTTAATTGTGGTTAAAACTCTCTCTCAACTCTATAACTCCGAAACACGAACCTTGATGAACAAGTTGAGCGCGGTACTACCAGTGACGTGGTGGGGATCGAACTAGGAACCTCTCGCTTATGAAGCGAGCGCTTTACCACTACACCACTACCGCATATTATGATAATTTACATTTTCTTATAAAATTTAAGCATAATATATATATGAATATTATTAAACATTTTTGTCAACCGTCAGTTCACCGAATAACTAATATCGTACGAAGTTGTTCCATGAGAGTCGGATAAATGGGAACTTGTTTGTGTATTTATTTATTTACCAATAAGAAAATAATTTACATTTGTAGTTTATAAAACAAATATTTATATGACTGAGACTAAAAAAAGATAAACTCAGTCTTATCACCAAGCCCCAAAAAATGCATCCTCAGGCATATACAATGAAATAATAATATTAAAAAGTTGTAGTACACAAAATTCAAATCATTTAATAATACAATATTGTTACAAACATTAAGTAAAAACTATTTATGGAATATTTTTTATCTCATGATATTAATTTTTAAAAAATGACTATGACAGAATGAACCTTTCTAATAATTCATTTCTTAAAGAAGTTTTGAAAAGTGGAGTTATGAAACACCAGATTTCAATATTTAAAAGAAAATACATCCTATTCGCTGCTTTGTTATACTCATTTGATTTTTAAACCATCGATTTTGATTAATAAGGTAAAGTGATTCGGCTTAAGTTGCAAAAATGGTTATATAAAAATAAAAAAAAAATTTCTTTTTTAATTTCATATAAGAATTTTTATTTTTGTTTTTATTATCTTAGGAATCAAAAACTCAGAAAACCAAACCATTTGATTACTACAAGCACCCGACCAAAAAATTTAATACAAAGATAAAGCTTTTATATTGTAAGGATTCAAAGTTATGCATTTTATGGTTTTTTGTTGGATAATCGATCATCAATCATTTTTGTTCTAATTTGATGTTTATGTATTCATAATGTTTATGTATTCATAATGTTTATGTATTCATAATGTTTATGTGTTCATAATGTTTATGTATTCATAATGTTTATGTATTCATAATGTTTATGTATTCATAATGTTTATGTATTCATAATGTTTATGTATTCTTAATGTTTATGTATTCATAATGTTTATGTATTCATAATGTTTACGTATTCATAATGTTAAACTTAATCGCAGTTTTTTAACTAATATAATATCTTTCTTTTTTTTTTTTTATTTATGGTAATGATTTTTATGGATTAATTTACGTTTCTCGATGATAGATGATAAGCCTCTACGTACAAGATCTACGAGCCTCTGCGTTCTTGAAAAAATTTAATGCTCGTATTTTTATTATTAATATTATTACTATTATTATTATTATTATTGACCATTTTATTGTGCAACAATGCACGAATGAATATTTAAGAAACGCACAAAAAAAGAGACAAATATATTAAGAATTAGACAGCAAGATAAATAGATTTAAAAAAAAAAACAGATAAAAAAAAATAGATCTTCAAAGAGCTACTTTATTAAGTATGATAAATAATAATACTTAAAACTATAAAAATACTTAAAACAACAGACAAATGTATAATGAAAAAGTGATTGATCAATTTTATAAAAAGCAATAAATATATAGATGATAAATATAATGATGATAAATATATAGATGATAAATATATAGATGATAAATATATAGATGATAAATATATAGATGATAATTATATAGATGATAAATATATAGATGATAATTATATAGATGATAAATATATAGTTGATAATTATATAGATGATAAATATATAGTTGATAATTATATAGATGATAAATATATAGATGGTAAATTGAAATTGGGCAAATAAAAAACGCCTTAAAAAAAAGCAATTCTCATTTCCCTCTCATACCCACACGCAAACAAAACTGTCCTTGAAATTCTACAATGGTTAGCTTAAACATCGGTAAAATTAACATCAATATAAAAAAAATGTTTTTAGAAATATTTTTAAAAATATTTTCAAATATTTGATTATTTAAATCAAGATTTATGTTGATATATCAATTACAGCACCGATATGATTAGTCATCATACCCAAAAATGAATTCAAATTAAGTTTTGAAACATTTCTTTTAATTACATTTAATTTTATAAATGTGGTACGTTTCTACTACCTGTTTATCTTGTCTTTGTCCAAAGTTTTATAGTATCCTAAATCAAATTATGGTTAGGATTGAGTCTTTCCTAAATTTCTAACACGCTTATCCCAAAGCTATGATATTAGCCATAATATTCTAGCATGAACAAGTGTTTTTTAAACAAAGACATTTTTAGAATTTTTTCATTTTTCCATTTTATTATTTTGTTATGATTTAAAATGTTAGCAAATCTATTTCTATAATTAATTTATCAACACATACTCGCAATGATTTTACGCGCGTCTCATCAACAGACTGCTAAAATAATTAACAAAGAATATTAATCACAAAGGGCGCGCAGGAAAATTGTGTAATAGAACATTTTGTTTATTATACAAGTTGCAAATATAAGTTGAAGTAAATATGTATACACACGTATATATATAGAACGAGACACTAAAATTTATCGTTTATTGTATTGATTGTGTAGCGTGCATTAATGGACGTTTTTATATTATCATCACCCCATCTGTCTATTCATTGTTTTATTATCTCAATCTTTATTTTTAAATCTGTTTTTGTTTTATTTGTTTATAGCTTTTATAGATTGTTTTATTTGAAATTAAAACGAGTTTAAAAATTAATTTATAGCTTTTATATGATAAGAAAAAAATTGCAATAGTTTATTATAAGCTGCAAATATAAAATAATGATTTTAAATTGTAGCAGAAACTGTGGAAAGCACTGTGGTAAAAACTACGGAAAAGACTGGAAACTATGGAAGGGATGAGTCGAAAAGTAGTTCGCATTGTTATTCTTATAATACTAGCTGTCTTTATTTCTGTGATCAATACAATATGTCTTCAAATCATTTTGGCTTCAAAGCGTCTTCTTCGAAGCCCAACAACCCTACTTATCACAAACTTTATTGCTATCCATTTAATTCAAGGAGTAGTCGTGTTACCATTGTACGCTTTAACTCAACATTTTAGAAAAGTGGTTTGGTTGCACGATAGTTATCAGTTTATGTATAAGCTAACCTTTTATGGAAATTGCCTCGCTGTGTTACTTCTGAGCATCGATAGGTTACTAGCCATTAAATTACTGACGTCATATTTTGTAACAGTTACTAAAAGCAGAGTTAAAAAGTTGATTATTGTATGTTGGACGTATGTTTTTGTTTTGTGTCTAATTCCATTTTTTCCATTACAAAAATCATACACAGTTCTTGATAAAATGCTCTTGATAAAATATAATTACAATGCTCCACAAGTTTGGTCAATCTTCATGTTAATTTTAAATACTCTGATACCGTACGCAATTGTTATTGGAATATATGTGGTGATTAGTCAAAAAATTCATAAGTTAGTTAAATCATCTATAAAAAGGTCTAGTGTATTAGATAAAAGAGTTTCAAATAATGATTCATCCCATAACAAAGAATCTAGAAATGCTTTGCAGACTACTTTACTTGTTCTGAAGCTACTTCTTTGCAGTGCAATTACGTGGTTTCCAAAAGCAGTTTACGTTGTTATTCGATGTTTCTACCCGTCTCATTTATCCCAAGACATTTATGGCTCCGGATTTGAAAGAAATATTTTGTTTTCAGTAAACTTTGTGAGCATTTTAAACGCCTTACTTGCTCCGCTTATATATTTTTTTTACCATAAAGGTCACCGGCTTCGATTTAAAAGCATTATGCATTTTTGTTCAGGTCACAACGGGGTAGATCCTAACTATTGGCATAGTTCGCAAATAAGCTAAACACTTTGTAAACTTTTTAAACGTTTAAACCTTTTTTTTTAATTCAGTTTTAAAGTGAAATTTATATTTATTTTTTTATTTTATTTTTTAAAATGACAACTTGAGGCTATGAAATTATTATTTTTTCTCGCGTTTACTCAAAGTTTATTCTTTATTAATTCTTTATATTAAACCAGTTTTTTAGGTATAAAAAATACAAAAAAAGCAAATTGCATTTAACATTAGAAATAAGAATATAAGAAAATAATAATAAACTTTTAAAGAACTACAAACACATATATATAAACATTGTTATGTGAATATAACATATATATAAATATATATATATGTATATATATATATATATATATATATATATATATATATATATATATATATATATATATATATATATATATATATATATATATATATATATATATATATATATATATATATATATATATATATATATATATATATATATATATATAATATATATAAATATATAAATATATATATATATATATATATATATATATATATATATATATATATATATATATATATATATATATATATATATATATATATATATATATATATATATATATATATATATATATATATATATATATATATATATAGTACTAATAATAATGAAATCAGGCCTTCCCGGAGAGATCTTAAAGGAGAGGGGTAACGTATCAGTTTTTTGCCGAGTTAGGCCTAGAAAAAAATTTTAAAAATCTGTAAAAAAAAAAAAATCCTCGCTGACTAATATTTGCTGACTGGGGTTAGACACCCCACTACGCCCCTCTTTTGTGGGACGGCCCTGAAATCATTACATCATCTAATGAAAATTTAAGGTTTATTTATTTTTATAAAAAGTTGAAAAACATCGACTCAAACCCCCACTCCCTTCCCGCCCTCCCTCGTCCCCCACACCTCTAATAGCAATGCAAAATGGAACAATGTTATATTAATAGATTTAAATAGATAAATCATTTTTTCACATATATGCAAAACATAAATATTGTATAAAAATATACAATTTAAATAATAAAAATTATACAATTTAAGTAATAAAAATTATACAAAACTTGAAAAATAATGTAAATATCTTTTTAATAAAATGATACTATGAGAACGAAAATTAGTTCGTAAAACTATATTACTTATACCAAGCTTCCTAACGAAATAAAGACGGAACTTTTTTCTGTACATTCCTAGGCTATTTTTAATTAGGATAACTAATGTAATTAAAATAAATAAGTAATAAAATTAGATAAAACTTTTTTTAATGTCGATTCGTGCTTTTAAAAAAAACTCTTGCGTTTTTAGAAAATTTATGCTTGCATTGTTAATGTGTTAAACCTTGTGGTTGTACAACGCAGGTTATATTAACTAAAGGGATTTGATAAGCGTTGCAACAAACTGTTTGCCATTTAATAAGGATAAATTTTATATATAATTACTATTTTTACTTAACTACATCTATGTTACGCTTTAACTAAACTTCATTTAAATATTTTTTATTTTCAAACTCATTTTCAAATTCACAGACCCTTTGTGTTAATTTTTATTTAAGTTTAAATGAAAATTAATATTATCATTTAACGATTGGCAATATTTCTTTATTTTATTTTTAAAATGTTATAAACTTTGATCCACAATAATCTATGCTGAATTTTAAAAGTATTCTACCTTTTTTTAAGGCGATTTATATTTATTTGCATTTGCATCAATTATTAGTGAATACTTTTTGTTGGCGTGAGATTGCTGTTACATTTATTTATAAAACTTAGATGTTGGTAGATATTGAGTCAATATTCACCAACAATGATACATGAAAATGATGAACTAAATTAACATATATGGTCATCATTTTCATGTTACTCGATCAAGATTTAGCAGTTTAGCGTGTTCAAATTTAATATTAACAAAAATGATTTTAAACGCATATTTTTGCAAACTAAATATTTTTATTTTACAAGTTTTGTAGATTGACCAAGTAGTACTTGGTACTTGGTACTTAGTACTTTGTACTTTGGCACTTAGTACTTGGCAAGTACTGTTGCTTTAATTTATAGCAATTAGAGCTCTAAAACTTGAAAAAAGATTTTGCTTTTGGAGTATTTTTTTTTATTGTAACGTTTCAGTGCTGCTTCTTTAATTCCATAATTTAGAAAAAAACTAAAAAGTAATATTATGATATACAATTATAATTTCATTGTATACAAATAACATTCAAATACATAGCATATAATTTTGTTTGATATAAATATAATATAAGTATTTTCTTTAATATATGTTTAACAAAACTAATACATATATGTATTAATTTTATTATTAAAATAAAAATATATGTATTTGAATGTTATTTATATATAATTAAAATGTAATTATATATCATAATATTACTTTTATTTGGTTTGTAACAAGATCAAAGCTACAACTAATGTCACTTTAAATTAGGCAAGGGTTCATTCAAATCTGGGCCAATAAACATCATTTTTTTAAACTTAAATTTAACAAGTGTAGTAATGTTGATATATAATGCTTTTGACAAAAAAAAAAAAAAAAAACGTGTGTACGCATATATATCTCCAATATACACAATATATGAATTTGTATAAACATAAATGCACACATATATGTCAAATATGTACAATATGTATTTCTACACACAACTAAACACATATAAATGAGTGTATTTGTCTGTATAAAACATTATTTAGATAATACATCTACAAATAATCTTTATTTTTATGATTTTTCACAAACATACTTTTTAGATTTTTTAAGCACCATAGAATTCAAAATAGACATTTTTTTTTTTGTAAAAGAAAATTATAAATGCTTCAAAAAGTGCTTTATTTTGAAGCAGTCGCGGCGCAGTGATAGTGCACTTGTCTCAGAAACAAAGGATTCGTAGTTCAAACCCCAATTCTCGGCAAGTTTTGCAACATTGGTTAGGAAGGAGGCGTGAACTTTCAGTTAAATGCTCATCCGTGTTACTCTGTAATAAGACCATAAGGACTTCTTGAGGCACCTGAATAAAAATAAAAAAAGTTGTTAACTTTTTGGTTCCCAGCAACGCTCATAGCAACCACGTAAGACTCTTAGAAAACCTTAATAAATAAACATTTTTTTTTTTTACTTATATCAAATAAGTTCTTGGTAATTTTAATTGAGGAGTTTGTGTCCGTTAATTTTTTATGATTACCTAATTCGTGCGCCATAAAAATTACAAGCCATTCACAAAGCAACAACTTTTAAGCAACGTGATGATAAAGCCATTGCACTCAGCGGTATGAGTCTTCACTTTATCTCCTTGTTGCTGAACAATTAAACTCAAACGAAGCTTGTAAAAGCTATATTTCACTCAGTCGACCAAAAATATGAAAAATTGCAAATAATTTTCAAATTTCAAAAAAATTTTACCCTCGTACTATTGAATCTTGGTGTAAGTACCAACTTGATAAATTAAACAATACTTCTAAATAAAAAGACAGTATATCTTTACTAAAATCTATAAGTAATTTGATTAATATTTTCTAGGAAAGATCTTGGCTCAGATAATCTTTTAGAAAGATGTGTAGACGGGGATTCTCAAAATGTTCAATAGGCGTTGCACAATAGTATATAACACGTGCTCCAAAAACTGTTTATGCTGGTAGAAATACAATTAAGATTAATTAGCATCAACAGTTTTGTTAATTAACAATGGATCAAATGGTTTTTAGGAAGTTTGAACAACTTGAACATTCACATTCATATAGTTCAATTACAAAGTTTGATTGAAAAAGACAAATTGCGTATTAATCAAGTATATAAAAAATCAAGCCACTCAGAAAAAAAATTAGGGGCTAACAGAAAAGTGTTTAACAAAATAGGGTTTTGAATCATTTTTGTATACTTTTTATAATACATTTTTCTTTATTTACTGTTTTTACAAATTGATTTACTGCCAAAGATTGTAAATTATGCACTTAACCAATTGTTTTAAAATTTTGCACTATCGCTACTGAGATTAATGTTTACGTTCTGACATTAAATAAAAAAAAAATTAATTATATAAGTTATTTTTTAAAATTAGCCCCTTTTTTACAATTAATTATAAATGTCTTAAATCGTTATGGATAAATAATAATGATATGACGTACGTACTACTCAATTTCAACATTTTGTGTAACAGTTTTGAACTTTTATATATATTCTTTTTAAAAGTTATTCTTTACAAAAGATTACCCCTTTTTTGCCCAAAATGGGCTAATTTATTTAAATAAATATAAAAAATTTATTTAAATAAATATAAAAAAAAAATTTTTGTATCACTTTTTGAATACTACACCAGAAAAATATAACTTTAAATCAGATTATTGAAATTAATTTTTTTTTTGTAGATGTACCACCTAAACATTACTACATATGTTATATTAGTTAAAAAATAAATCGATATTTATTTAACTGAGCTAAATACAAATGAGCACAGTGTAACTAATCTAAGTTATTAATTAATTTAAGTAAATTAATTATTAACTTAAGGCCGCTATGAATTGCAAAGTTGTTTCCCGTCCCCGCCCGCCTCATTTTTTAAAATAATACAATTTTGTCCGTTATTTGATTTTTGCGTCATTAATCCATTATGTTTTCACGGCCTACTTAATAACAGGCCTAAAAGACACACAAAAAATAATAATAATATGAATGAAGGCGAATTTTTATATGCCAAAAATAAAAATAAACAAAAATGGAGAATGTTGGCTCGTTTTTCAGCGTTGTTAGTTTTTTTTTTGTTAAACATCATGTGCATTTTTAAATATTGTATATGTAATAAAAACCTAGCTACATATATATATATATATATATATATATATATATATATATATATATATATATATATATATATATATATATATATATATATATATATATATATATATATATATATACATATATGTATATATATATATATATATATATATGTATATATATATATATATATATATATATATATATATATATATATATATATATATATATATATATATATATATATATATATATATATATATATATATATATATATATATATATATACATATATGTATGTATACATTGAT